TTTCACCTCCATTGTACAGAATGGAATTTTTATCACGAGATGAATAAAATGGGTGGTAGAGCGGAATTATGGTATTATCTGTTGTCGATGGCATAGTATAGAAGCAATCTGGTGCTTTGCTTGCTAACTTTCTTAAAAATAATCACAGTAATTGTTACAATTATAGAACTATACGTTATATAAGGAAGTTAATTTAATTCAGCCAATTAGATTGGTTAAATCATTTTTTAATTCAGCCAAATTGATTAAAGATTAATTCGAAATTTAGAAAAAGAAGTTTTCGTTGAATCTTGTCTTAATGTTAATTTCAAAGATCAACAAAAGAGATTTGAATAAATAAATAAAATTTACTTATGCAAATCTTTTCGCCTCTTTTGGATCAATTTTATCCTTTTACTGATGTATCCAACAGCAGCAAATTCAAGTAATGAACTGAATACCATGACAAATGATACACCTAAAAGTTGTTCATTGATTCGGATATGTTATTTGGTTGACATGGAGTAATCATTTTTTCATCAAAATTGTCACTTCTTCTTCGATAATGATTCTACCATATGAGAATGACTTTTATCACATTAATATTTTTTGAAATGGAAAATTTAAACTCGAACAATAAAGTGAATCACCTTTTATGTAGCAATATATCTACTTACAATATGACTAACCGAGAAATATATCGATGCTTTTAACATAAGAAACTTTCGGCATTGAGGCCTGTAATTTTGTCATTTTAAGATTAAGCGAGGATTAAAATGAATCAGCTAATGATTTCATTGTTTTCTTAAGCAGTTTCGATATTGAATTGAATGATTTTTCAGGAAAAAATGTACTTGAAGGACAGTAAGATTTATATTTTGGGCTGACTAATTTTATAGATTTAAGCGAGAGTTGTCTTCTTAATAAATTATAATTTAATGAAAAAAGTCGTAGAAAAGATGGGAAATCTTACATTTGCTGTTGCTGTAAGTGTAGTCATAGTAAGTATGGTAAGTACACTAAGCGCTACTCGTGCTGGAGTTGCGTCACGATTAAGCCAGAAAGATACCCACGAGATGACAACGATCAGAATACAGGGTAAATAAACTTGAATAACGTAGAATCCTATATTTCGTTTAAATAGAAATGAGCAGGTTAAACGTGAATAGTTGCCTGGAATCTTAACAATTGAAAACTTAAATAATTAGTAAAATGAAATTATTCCGAACATTTTAAAATACATTAAAATTTCTTGATGAACAATTATAAGTTATGAGAATGTAAAGTACATAACAGAAAACTAACTTGTAAGCGAAATATGAATATGAAACCGTATACTTTATTTTGAGAATATATCTTCTTATTAGTCCTTATATTTCGAAAAATTTTGCTAATTTCAGCTAAGGAATTTTATGCTTACCGGAACTTAAAACAATATTTCGTGATTCGACTTGTATATCGATGAGTACAAATTGAGGTAATTCGAATTCTGATTTCGATACTGAATTTCTTGAGTTATTGAAGAGGTAAACGATATCCAATACGCTGTAAGCATCTGCAACACATACTCTTTTCTTGGCTTGTATATTTATTAGTTTAAAATTGAATAATATAATCTATTATTAACTAAGCTATTTTACACTGAATGATATTATTCAATTATTTGATAAGATTTAAAGTGTTATCATAATTTGAATACTTAGTGAAATAATTTCGGCAGGAGTTAAAGTCTTTTAAGCTTGTTGTTACTTATGGTACAGTAACATTAAAAAATTTGACTAACAACTTTCTATTTCAAGTTTGCATTTCTGAGAATCCATCGGAAATAACTGAAGTTTCATGTTACACGAGGCTGTAACAGTCAATCTGTAAGCATACAAATTAAAATTTCTATTAAACTTTATTAAATTCTTTCAATTCTAACAAATTAAATCACTGAATTTTACTTTATAAATCTATGATTTAATGCTTTAAAAAATGCTTCTCAAATATTTAATTACTCATTCATTAATGTTTTTAATTATATAAACATACTTATCTTTACTCCTACATTATTATTAGATTTCCTAGCAATATCTTTTAATGGATGTATCTTCAGATAAATGAAATGGAAAATTTTTCATATATTAATTACATTGTTTATTATATAAAATTTCAATTGAATGAGTAATTAACAAGCATACTTCAATGCTTATTTAATTGTGATCTTTGGTAGTTAACTCAATATGCAGCATTTATCCGCTACTATTACAAGCATAATCAGACATTATTACACTTATTTATTTCATGTTAGTTAAATTTCTTGAAAAATGAAACTTCACTAAGCTAATAAATACACACAGATTATAAGGATTAACAAAAACTTATAAGTTCTTGTTGATTCTTATAGCATAAATTATAAACTTTTTTTCTTTTCCAAATCTAATATCAAAGTTTAAGTTAAAAGTTAAGCAAGCCTTTGACTGGTAAGTACGTTGCCATTTGGATAAATCCGCAAGAATGAATTATGCGTTGTAGTTATGTGAAAGTATGATCTCTTTTCATTCGGAAAAAATGTATCTGGCTTCCATAATTTCCGCAGATAATCTACGCCAACCTAAATTAAATGTATAATTAATTTCGTTAAATTCGGAGCATTTCTTCATCGATACAATTATCAAATTCATTATCCCTATATTATCACTACACAAATTCTTTGACAAAAATCAATCATAATATTTTTATGCTATTGCATTTCACTATTTCAGAGGATAAAATGAGTCGTTGATTTATGATTCTTATTTAAATCAGCAGGTATTAAAAAATATATATTATTTAGCTTAGAATAAGTTGGCATATATATTGAGCGAAAGAATCACACAGGATATGATGGATAGCATCTATTCATTGTATACTTTTAATGGCCTTTAGCCGACTATACTGCTAGTTTCAGTGAAATTTAAGAATAATTTTTGGTGGTGAATGTAAATTCAGTAATGAAGACTTTCCGACGCTATATTAAAACATTTTGGTCGTGGTAATTTTTTAAAATCTATTTATAAAATAAGTTTTAATAAATGATTCTTTCCGTCTAAGCATTAACTAATCCGTTAAATTATAAGAATTATAGCAAATTCTTGAAAAATGAAAACGAACTATTAATGAATCAATGTTATTTTCTAAGATACCATACAGATAATGACTGAATGCAAGACGTGGATCATTCCAAGTTTGCCTTAAGTAAAAATCAACCGTGAAATCCTGAAAATAAGAATGATTGTTTGCATAATGTCAGCAAGATGATAAAAAATTTAAAGGAAAAAAAAGAAAACACTTTCTTCAAATTTACTTAAACTATAAACACTAGTTAGATTGTAGAAAATAGCATCACTATGTAATATTACTCCTATCATTATCATATATGATATAATATATATATATATACATATATATACCATATTAACTTCGGATACTGCACTAATGCTTGATACGTGTATCGTAATACCGACATTTACCGGTTCTTCACCATGTTTTGGCCTTAGACGTCTATCATATGTAGTATTATCGATAAGGGTGTCCAATATTTCGGTGATTTTTTTAATATGCGAATCACATTCA